ACATTAACTTCAATTCATCACTTAATAAAAAACTACTCAGCATGATCTCAAACTCCTTTACAAATTGTAAATAATCGGCCGGGTTTCCATCAAAACACCGTGGTTCTAATTTAGGGAGTTTGATGTTCCTATTATCCCTGAACGGCGAAACAGTAACATCAACCATGTCATGCTTAACATCAGACACATCGTTACAATTAACAGACAAGTCAACATGACTTACTTTCCTGTTTGCATCCAAGACACTCTGTCCCTTCTTTGACCCAGGCATTGTTGAACTTGACCAAATTCCAAAAAGTTCCAGATATTGCTTGTTCAAAGAGGACTTGACCGGCACCAAGGAAGATGAACGGTGACTATCCAAACTTTCACCAACTGTTTCAATCCGCCAGATCTGTTTCTATCGTCAGAAACTGTCAATCACGTCTCATAAACCGTTAATGCCCAGCTCTCGCTACGCTCGGGCCCACGCTGTTCTTAGAAGATTTCTCAGAAACGCTTAGTAATAACGGACGCAAAAACCAAAACACCGATCTGCTGCTTGTTATTTCTTTATTGTTACACCAACATATAAAAGGAATAAACGAACTAAGCAACTAAGGTCTGAAAACAAATATTACAATAATAAATCTCTGTATTACTTCTGACGATGTTTCACTCTCCTTTCTGAACAGCGACCGATGAGACGATGACTGGCTGATTGATGCCTCCGCGAAAATTGGGGAAGTTGATTTTGAGCAAACAACCATGAATTGATTGTTCAATCTTCAGCTCCATTGACAGGTCTGTTCTGCCTGCAACCTGCCTGTTCTTCATCAGTCGCGGGCCAATGTTTCGTAGAATCGTCTTTTGTCTTTCCTAGCACTTTTCACGTCTTTCTTGATTGAGTGCAGTGTACACTGAACTCAGCTTTCCTTACGTTGTGCATCTTTTCGTTGAGTCATCTCTTTCGCCATCCTCCTCTCCTCCCCTCGATTATCTTCCAGGTAGGTGTCCGTAGAAAGCCATTACTTGTCGTGTCTCTTCCTTCTTTTCAGAACAGTTGTACACGTTTCCTTGAACATCACTTGCAGCGAGTTCCAATGTTCTTCCACACAGGTTTCCTCAGTGATAACGAGTAGTGTCTCCAACTTTCCTTTGATGGCTGCAATGAAGGTGTCCTTTGCAATCTTGTCTTTCAGTTTCTGTATAAATTGTGGCCCTTATGCATTCGTCTCTAGGGATTTCAGCTTCACATTCAAGGTTCCAGAAACTGCATGTTGGTCTTAGCTCGCCCAAATCTGCTCCTCTTCTCGACTTTGTGCCCAGCAGACTAGCCGCGTCTCAACTTCCTTGAGCAGTATTGAGATGAAATCTGTCTGGTTTGTGGTATGTCCTTCAGGCGAAATCTATATTACTTTGTGTATATCTTTGTGTTTGTACACGCTGCCTCCAATCACCAAGTCATTGAAAGTGCAGAAGTGTGCGAAGAGTTCTCCACTCGCATTCATTTCCCTAAAGGCCTCTTGACGCATGATGAGTGCTCTTACTGTATTATCCGCTCCCAGTTTGTCTTGCGTTCATATCGCCCATGAGTAATTTGATGTCACCACTCAGGATGTTGTCCATTACTGTTTGTAGTTGTCTGTAAAAATCCTCCTTCATTTCTTGTTCTGCGTTGTTTGTAGCTATGTGAGTAGCATCGCATGATAATTGTGACCTTCCTTCCTGTTTAGTTGAACCTTTTTGTCGTGATCCCGTGGGATGAAACTGATTCCCACTACATTAGAGCCCTGACTGCCACTGGTGACATCATAAAAGCCACTCACCACCTGAGTGTGTTCGTGGTTGTCGTCTGAATGATCAGTCAGGAGTAGATTACTGACTCTCCACTTGACGATTTTGACGATCCAGATCCATTCCATCTGTTCTCGCAGATACCTAGCACTTCTAGGCCATATCTTCGCATCTCTTTGGCTAGCTGGGAAGCCTTCCCAGTCACGTATATTATGTAAATATTCCATGTCCCCATTCTCATTCTTGCTTTCATCGGGAGAAGACATATCGCATCACAATACCCACTTCCTCAACATGCTCATCATGCTGTCTGGTTTGCTGTAGTAGATTACTGACTCTACGTTTCGCAGTTTGGACGGTTCACTTCGATTTCATGTGCCGTAGCAGGTTCCGAGCGCTCCTGTACCATATTTTCATTTATTTGGCGATACAAGAAGACCCGATCATTGCGAAGGCATTCCATGCCCCAACGCCTATTTTTGCTTTCGCCAGAAGATGCATCGGCTGACTGGCTTACTGTGGGATTTTATCAACCAACGTTACTCCGTACACCCAAGTCCTGAGAAGAACAAGTTTTTTTTTGCCTACCGCCTCAAAGATCTCAACTGCTGGTAGAGTGGAGAGACAATGGCATTTTAATATTTAACTACAGAAAGTACACTAGTTCCCAGACTAACATAATAATACTTAGTAATTATGTAGGTTCAATACTTGAAATTAGATTGCCATTAAAATACCTAAAATGATCAAAATACTTATGCGGCAAATGTTCTCTTGGTTTACCGCTCTTATTTCCCTTATAACACTCAGTTATTGAGCCTAATGTATTCTTTGATAATACGAATTATGACTCTGACTATGCTCTTATTATGCATAGATTGATTTACTTCACGACTACCTGTAGTACTAACTACCCTTCTGTAGTATTGTTAACCAAATGCTGAAATTTTGTTGGTTGTGTTAATCTCTTTTTGTAATATATGTAGACAGGTTACTTTGCAATGTCAAATGTTCACTATGTATAAGAATGTCATGATAATTTAGTACACTAAGTCCTGCCAACCGACCTTACTTTCAGTTCATACTACCTACATTGATCCCTAACTATATTGTTCTGCTGAATCTTGCTTCACTATTCACAAAACCTATTCTTTTTATTCTTTAAGGTTCTAACTTCTTGTAAAGTAATCTGTTCATTAGGACGCATGCATACATATATAATGTTCATAAAGATGTACGCGGAGACCTATTGGAAGCACTCATTAAGAAAGCTAGGGAGATGGAATATGAGGTACGAATATGTCTGGTACCAAGCAATATATTTGCGGTAGCCATAAAAATCATAGTCTCAGAGCTTAACATCATAAAAGGAGGGAGGGTGGCGTTAGCTGATCAGTAGATATGGTGGGGGTCACTAAGGTGAATCGCCCCATTCTGCAGGAACAGCAATATACAAATTAAAGGCTCGAGATATTTCTGATTTTTATGAGGGCTTAGATCTTTATCTTGAAAAAGATAATGATGAACGCCTTGACAGATCATGCTTCTAACTTTAAATACCATTCGCTCAGCCTATTGTTGAGATGCGACCATGTGGGCTCTGCACAGATTTATGGGGCATCTTATAAACTAACTTGCTGTCCATTGTCGGATCTTTAAATACCACTTCACAATGTCTTATCTCATTCATTTTCTAATAACGTCTTTACTTGATTCTCATTATATTCCATTAAACCTAACATTTTATAGCTCTTTATGAGTTTGATTCGACTTATTCTATTCTTATTCTCTGTAGGGTACGGTTGTGCACCAAATGCACAAAAAGGCATAAAATAAAAAAACCGGCATGAGGAAAAATGTATTAAAACCAAAAGTGGACATCATGATAGTACGAGATATACGTGTAGCATTATGCATTGCAAATGAACGTTGTCAGCCTAGGGAGTTTCATTTATTAATGCATTTATTAGTGATATATTGCACTTACCCATTTCATTACACTTTATTGACTCACCTTAGCACTTTTACTTTTCTAAAACAGCTTTGAATCCCTTGTAGAAGTTGTACTTACCTCAATATTGGTTGGTTATCGTATGCCTACAACCACGGGATGAAAACGAAACGAAGACGATTTTCCCGCTCAACCTGGAGGACAATTGTACAATCCAATAACTATACAGCCTAGTTTTGACAATGTGTATTTATATATATATCAAATATTTAACTGTTGAAACATTATTAACTTGTAGACGATCTACGATTTGATATTATATCATACTTGATCGTGCCTGTAAAAACGGCATGCATTTTCATGTAAATTTATATGTTTATATGAGAATATATATTATTATTATTAATGTTTCCTGATCGATTGAAATGATTTTTGGGGGTAGGGTCGTTGGAACCAAACCGAACGAATGACCAATGAACTGAGAAAGGCTGTCTCATGCCGGCTGCTATCAATAGCCTTTTTCCGTATGACGAGAAGAAAGGCCAAACGGGAATTTCAGTTCTTTTATTCAAAATATATCTAAGGACTGGCACCACTCATGGGAGATGTGTGTTTAATTAACTAATCATCGTGCATGACTCATCGAATGTTTTATGACAGCTCGCCAATCATTTAGGTTGCCTAGACATTTACTTCAGCTGGGATGGTTTAGGTTAGCGCCCAGCATCGAATAAGGAGAGTTTCGGACTGGTGAAGACGAGAGACTATTTACTGCAACCTGGTCAAAGCACGATTGTGCCTTTATTATGTATGAGGTTTGTAGGATTGACAAAGTCATTTGGGGTTGCTGTCTTTAAAATGATGAGTTAATTAGTGTTAGATTTATCCATCATAAATGCTACCTGATTGGTCACATCTCTACATTTATATCTTCTAACTTACTGTTTTCACTTTGAAGTTTATTATGATGTCCGAAATTATGAAGGTGCAGTTCGCATTAGTTAGTTCTATTCTTTTAGAAAGTTAACTCCTCATATAGGATGCCCAGTTTTTAAATTCTAAAGCTTTGGGCTATTTCGAAATATTTTCTATCCCCTAAAATTAATTCATTGTAAATTGAATTTTAGGATTGCGTTTATTGTACGTACCGCTACAGGTTGACCTTAAGTGGTGTTGACCAATAGGGCACACATATTAACAAGGCGTAGGGTGTGGAAGCACTTTTTCAGTCATTGGATCGCCTCCTCTCATATTTTTGCAATACAATAAAAAAATGGGCAACTCTTCGAGTGGTCATAAGCGTAGATCATCACTAGACGACGATATTTTATCTGGTGTCCTAGCAGGAAAGAGATATGCATACCAAATGTCACATGTATCTTATTATTTTTGTGAAGTTAAAACCAAAATTCTTAGGATACCGCAGCCGAAGAGTCGGTGATCAGCTTTGTAACAGGGAGTTCAGCTGTAAATGCTATCGCCGATCAACTTCGTGATTCTAGGTTGTACGACTCGGGTGGTAAACCAAGCTTGTTTGTTGGAGGACCTTCTTCTGGTCCTGATACGTCAGAAGACACTCAAACCACTGTTCAGAGTGTTCCCACAGTCTTTAAATGGGACGGAGGTGGAAAGGATGTTTACATAAGTGGGACATTTAATGGGTGGAAATCAAAAATTCCCATGGTTAAAAGGTAAGGGCTGAATAATGTCATGCGATTCCTTAAATTGCACTTTTATATTCTGTCACGAACTGGGTTTTTGTTTATGCCAGCTAGCATTTTCTTTGGGTGGACTACAGAGCCTGCGACAGTTATTTGCAGTCTGCCCCAGTTTCTGTAGTGCACCCGAAGAAAATGCTATCTGGGATGCACTAAATCAAAGCGCTACCATATACATGCATTAATTATAATGTTTCATCGATTGTGATGGTTAGGACACGTGCTATGCATTTCAAATCATCATCATAGTTATTACCTTTAAGGCTTTGCTTAGATTTTATTTTCAATCTCTGTATGTATGTCACCAACGTGTTACAAATTCATGTTAAATCCTTATGTATGGGGACTCATACTAACAGATCAGTCCGGGTTAAATAGATAGTATAGAATTTGAGATAAATATTTCTAGCTTCAGATGCGTGTTCAACCGGTAGATTATACCTCTAGTATTAAATAACACTAAGATTGCTGGTGCACTAAACACTTAGTGTTGCAAGAACTGTTTTACTGTTAACAATGACTGAGCGGATTATTGTTCATTATCACATTTTAGTTAGAGCAATAAACAAACATCTTGGTGGGGTGGGGGAGGATGGAACTATACAGTCTTACAAATAAAAACCAAAAGAATGTGTAAAATAGTGTAAGACCAATTTAGGTAGGTAAGGGTGATTAATCACGAAGTAAAAACCTCCAAAACTTCTACACTTAGAAAAAGTAATCTGTCAGTGTCCATGATGTGGGATGGTCAGCAGTATGTTCGTTAATTAACTGACTAGCTTGATATATGTTTAATAGTAATAATAATTTACTTTATTCCAAAACAGTACTTGTGATACAGAATGGAATTCTCAGCAATTTTACTACAGTATTGCATCCAGTTAGTACATTATCAATAAATAAAATTCCACATAGATTAATGAAATCTCAGTTCGTTATGACAACAACATATTAGCATGTCAGTAGCAAAGCTAAAAATTGAACAGTGTTTGAAGTTGCTAGAAAAGTAGATGGTAGCGTATTTACTGGCGTAAATAGAAGAAAGAAACAAAAAAGCACATAACAGAGAAAAAGAAAGAGAAAACGTTGTACCTGTAAAAGATATGAATTGGAAAGACGAGATCCAGTTGTTCTACTGACTACTTAATAAGTTATAGGTATCACGCCTAATGCTTTCTATATCTCACAGAACACGAGCTAAGTAGGGTGTCATTGAGTCTTTGTACTTACTAGTGCGAGCATATAGTTTTCTATAGAGTCTTCTGGTTTTCCCTGATGAGATACAAGGGGAGAGTTGTGAATGAAGATGGTGGTGTGAGTTAAATAAAATGGATTTTGCACATTTTTCTCGACTAGTACATCGCAGCTTCGAATTATTACTTACTCACAGGGAGTTTAGCAGTCGGGTATCACCATTATCCATCACAATGGCTTTGGCTCACTGTTAAATATATTAATCCATACTATGTTACCTAACTTATCCACGTACCTTTGATTCAAATATTTGCACACATATTAGACTTAGTAGTCTGTTCACCGTATGGTCCTTCGAAAGTGTAGAAAAAACTGTTGAGTACGTAAAAATCTGCACTGTGTAACATTGGCAGTATTCCCCCTAACCATCTAAAAATATGTGCACTGGTTTCAGTGTCCCTTTCAAAATGTAAAACTTCACCATAGCCTGTAAAATAACTCTATCTTAATTCCATCTTCAAGCAGGGGATATTCCTTGATGTTTTGTGCTATCAAACAGCTAAAATAAGCTGTTATACCTGCTCGGAAGTGATTTCTTCTTGTTGTTTTCTGTAGTAAAGGAGAAATAATGTAACATGGTGAATTCCCTCTTTTTCTGTTGTTAAAAATTTTGTTCTGACTTTAAATTATTGATTAAGCTATGACCGTATAGTTTCGAGATGCTGAATCCAGTTGTATCTCCTGTTCATCCTAAGGGTTGGCGTCTACGTGAAGTAAGCACTCGGGTAGTGCGAAATCACAACTGTAGCAACGACTGTGGTATTACAAGTGTCTGTATGTGTTCTTATCCATTTGCGTTCAACTTATGTGGAGATTGTGCAAGTGTATTTTCCTTTCTGAGTATATTCCAAAGAATTTATGCCTCAAAGGAAGTGGGTATTTACGAATCCTAGTTACAAGACACTTCGTGGATGCCAGGTATTTCTTCAATATCTCCCAATCCCTCAATACTTAATGTGCGACGGACGCTAGAATTACTAAAGCTTTCCTAAGAGATTGCAGTCAAACGTTTTCCAACCAAACTTATGCATATAGAAACGAATTGTGATCAATCTCTCACTCACCTGATAACTACACTTTTATTCTGATGAAGTTGACTGCATATTTATACACATCAGTGAATTCAGTTTACTAAGCTCATTCCTTTGAAAAGGCCTTCGACAGCGTCGATCGAGAGGTGATTTGGCAACTACTTCGCTACTACGGGGTGCCATCGACAATTATACATCTCATCCAACAGTTATACGACAATGCTGCATGCCAAGTAATCCACAACGGGAAACTTACGGAATCCTTCGAAGTGAGGACGGGAGTGAGGTAAGGCTGTCTACTATCGCCAATGATTTTCCTGACTGCAGTAGATTGGATAATGCGACAGACAGTGGGAAACGAGGAGACAGGCATAAAATGGACCCACAAAAAACGTTGGAGGATCTGGATTTCGCCGATGATATTTGTCTGATTTCCCACAAATTGGAAGATGTGCAGGTAAATAGCATCAAAGATAGAACTTCCGGTGAACACAGAGAACACAGAGGTGATGACGATTCCTGGCCGACAGCAACAGCAACAACAACAGACAAAAATCAACATGAATGGGGAAAATCTAGAAGATTCAACTTCCTATACCTACCTACCTGGTAAGCATCGTTTCAACTACAGGCGGAACTGACGAGGACATCAAAGCCAGAATCGGAAAAGCAAGACAAGCTTTCACTACTCTTACGTCTGTGTGGAGGTCAACAGCACTCAGCATCGAAAATAAGATCCGGATTCGCAACTCCAATGTGAAGTCAGTGCTATTATAGGGATCAGATACTTGGTGCGTCATAAAGAGCATCTCAAACAAACTTCAGACCTTCATCAACAGTTGTCTTCGCTCAATACTCAAGATCAGATGGCCGGCCAGAAAAGATCAGCAACAGGGATATCTGGCAATGAGCGGACCAACCAGGAACCGATTGTGAAACAAATAGGCAGGAAGAAATGGAGATGGATTGGCCATACTCTGAGGAAACAATCGAGTGACGTCACTAGACAATCCATTGCTCGAGTGGAACCCGAAAGGGAAGCGGCGAGTTGGTCGTGAGTGCAAGGGTGACTTGGAGGAGGTCATGTGAAGAGGAGATGAAAGCATGTGGGCAGACGTGGAGCGAGGTGAAAAGGTTGGCAGAAAACAGAAGGCAATGGAGATGCACAGCTGAAGCCCTATGTTCCTCTAGGAATTAAAGGATACAATAATATAATAATAATAATAATAAGCTCATTCCAATTTTATGAACTATAGTTCTCCTAAGGTGTTATGTAACCCTATAAGCTGAAAGAGTTTATTACTTCTCCTCTTTTCTGTCTTTTCATCCCCCTCAATCTCTACTTTTCAATGCATATCAAAATTAACTACGGGTTAGAGAATACCTGTGGTGCCTACACTTTGAACCCCTTTATTTACAACAGTTCCCGTGTATCATTCCAACAGTGAAGTATATTATTTTTCATTCTTTTATGACTGTCTGCAGTTGATGAGCACATGTCAAATAGAAAGACATCGTTTTACCCTGAAACTTTTGTCTTTCTTGCTTTATCGAAATGTATTTTTTGTTTTGTTAGCTCAAGTAAACATAACTTCTACACAATTATTGACCTTCCTCTTGGTGAACATCAGTACAAATTTATTGTCGACGGGCACTGGAAACTCGACCAAAATCAGGTTGGTTATGCTTACTTTATGACTAATGATTATGATGTATTTCCAACTACTGACCAGTATGTGTAAGTGAGTAATTGGATAAAAATCGTTAGTTAAATCATAGCACATTTCTAGAATATTGGTATAAAACAAAAAGTAGTCATTCATTCGTGTACCACGCAATAAGCGGTAATTATTATAACAGGTGTACTACTATTAACTATGTGGAATAGCTTTGTAACTCATAGCTGATTGGTTTAAATTTAATTGGTAAGTAACACACAGAATAGCGAAAGCAAACAGATTGAGAAGCAAATATAAATAGCATAAGGAAGGAGAAGGAAAACTAAAAAAATAGCACGGTGGGACTGGCCACTGACTTATAGTGGCTATGCACTCACTTTCTGGGGGTAGATTTCATTTGGATAAAAAAGATATTGGTATGTTGTAAGTAACCGAAGCCCACCGTATCATCGAATCATTTTATTAAACATATAGAATTTTTGTCAATTATTTTTTTTTGTGTGATAATCACTGCAATTCGTTTGCAGTTCTAATACTTCGAGAAAGCTGAAAAGTTGAAGGCAGTTCAACACCTAGCGACTTTGAATATGATTCCCTTTTAGTAATAACTCTTACTAGGTGCGTAGTAAAACAGATAGCTGTCTATTTTTTACTCTTAACAATTTTTTTCGTAAAACGAACATTCGCTGTTATACAGTATCGTTCAGCACAGTCTTTGAAATGCTCAGTCATGCTTCACTTTTTATTTTCGGGCAGAATTCAAGAGTGGTGAATAAGTCATAAGAAAAGATCCAACTATTTAGACGAATAAAATGACTACTGTATCTAAAATATAGGATGAAATGAAATACTAAGATTAACGCGTAGTTTTTTCACTAGAAAAAAAAACTCACGTGAATTTTAAGACATGCTTACATCACCTACAACTGACGAAGAAACGGAGGTTGAGTTATTGGCGAATTGCTTATGTTTATTTCCGCCTACCTTCTCTCTTATCTGCCGTTCACGATAATACTGTGTGTCTGCTTATAAATCGTGATGAACCCACCCTCTTGTACTATTACGTTATATTATTATTATTCCTTTTAGTTCCGCGTGGAACATAGGGTTTCAACAACACATCTCCACTTTCTGTTTTCTGCCATCCTCTTCAGCTGGGTCCACGATTAACCATAATCTCTCATCTCTTCTTCACATGATCTCCTCCTTGTCACCCTAGGATGACCCACTCATCGCTTCTCATTTGGATTACACTCGAGCAATGACCCGCATTGCGCGCGATGTCATTCGACGGTTTACTCAATGTATGCCCGATTCATCTATCTCGATTTCCCCCCTACAAATTTGTTGTGCAATCGGCTCTTGGTTGGTTTGTTCCCACAGTTTCGTGTTACTTATTCTTTCTGGCCATTTGATATTCAGTATGGAACGAAGGGGGCAGCTGTTGGTGAAAATCTGCAACCTGTTGGAAATCCTTTTCGCTGCACACAGTGCAAGTTTCTGACCTGAATAGAAGGACCGATTTGACATCGGTGTTGAAAATGCGAATCTTATTCCTTATGCTGAATGTAGGAGATTTTCAAACTGGTTTCAGGCTAATGAAAGCGTATCTCGCCTCTCCGATTCTGACTGGTTGGCTTTGACGTCTTCATCCGTTCTGACTGCCTGTAACTGAAACTATGCTTCCTGGATAAGTGAAGTCAGGAAGTAACCTCTGATAGATCTCCCCGTTAACGGTGATTGATGCTGGTTGTTGTTGTTGTTGTTGCTGATCGTTGGTTGGTTATCTTCACCACCTCTGTCTTCCCTGTGTTCCCATGGAGTCCTGTCTTCGCTGCCTACCTGCCTGCTTCTTCAGCCAGTTTTCGCCTTCCTCTGAGTCTTCGAGTCTGTGTGACATTAGACATATATCATCCATGCGCGAAATCCAGATCTTCGAGAGTCTTATCGGGTGGTCCAGCGTATTCCTGTCTTCTCACTCCCAACGTACAGTCTGACGCATAATCCAGTCCACCACAATTAAGAATAATAGCCAGATAATAGGCAGCCAGCCAGCCAGCCATCCAGCTTGTCTTACTCCTGTATGCACTTTGAACGCCTCACTGAGTTTTCCGTTGTGGATCACCTGGCACGTGGCACTGTCATATAGCCAGCCAGCTGGTGAATGAGGCTGATAAAGACTTGGCCACTGCACGCTATAGTGTTGAAGTAGTTTCCAAATTACTTCTCGGTCAACGCTGTCCGTGGAGGCCTTTCTGAAGTCGATGAAGTTGAGGTAGAGAGTGGTTTGAATGCCATTCTACGCTATGTTCTAGGATGACGATGTGTAGAGATGCAATTTGATCAGTGCATGATTTATCTTTCCCAAATCCAGCTTGTTCGGGTCGGTGGGGCGGAGTTCCGTATCCAGTGCATCCTTTATTCTCCCCAGGATGGTGCGACTTAGTATTTTACTTGGCGTGGACAAGAGCATAATTCCACGCAAGTTCTTGCAGAGTGAGGCGTAAGTCTCCCTTCTCTTGCAGCTTGACGAGGTAGCTATCCTTTCTTCCAATCGGTAGGTAGCTTTCCTTCGTTCTTTCCAAACCTTTTGCAATGACGGCGTGAGCACGTCTGCCTCAGTCTCTGGGTCCGTTTTCAGTGGTGGGGGAAGGGGGGAATTCGTACATCCCGACATACCCTACGGTGGTCCGTAATCGGCGGTGAGTTTACTAGTACGGAACCAAACCAAGAATCCAGTTCATACAGGCCGTGTGTGACCGACCTCAAGCAGTTGTCCCCTGGACTCTGAAGTCACGCAACACTAACCCTCTTTCTGTTTCAGGTACCCGGAGAATCTTGCAACTTCCACGTGTGGGCAGCCGGGAAGTAACAGCCGCTCACACACTTCCAAAAGCACACGAAGCTTCCCTGAGCATCATTCTTCTTTACCCACATCACCATCATCCTACTCCCCTACTACAGCTAGTACTATTTCTTAGGTTAGTGAGTCATCTTCACTTCACTCGGTGAACACAAACAACGATGAGAGCTATAGAAACAACCCCGACAGCCTCCTAAAGCCACGTCGCTAACTTTATATAGGAGTATTCAACGTCAGGACCAAATCGGACAACGGGTATCACTAGCACGAACACTGGCATCTCGAGCCATGGATGTATGTTGTGTCTCGGGGACATGCATACAAGACTCGAGTGTGGTCATTCACTTAACCTCACCCGCTCAACAAGGTGAATCTGCAAAACTTACTTTGAGAGTGTCAGGAGACCCCTCAGCTAGTTGACGAGGACTCGCAGGTGTTAGCATTGAGTGTTAGAGCAGAAAAATCCCTTCTGACTAGATCCCAGTAGATAGTCGTATGTGTGCGGTCCGTCTGGACGGGTCCGTTAGAAGAAGGAAGGACGGCGTTACTCGTCGTTGTGTTTTCATAGTATCCGCTTATGCCCCAACCGACTCCAGTTCCGATGAACTAGAGAATGATTCCTACCAGAAACTGTCTAGTCTGCTGCAAAAAGCAGGAGATACTTAGCACTTCTATGCCATATCTTGACAGCTCTTTGACTACCTGGACAGCCTTCCTAGTCACGTATATTATACGGATATTCCACGTCCCCATTCTCATTCTTGCTTTCATCGAGAGAAGACATATCGGCTGGCTGACTGGCTTCCCAAATGCCGGCTCTCACCATCCCGCTGTGTCGTTTCGCCTCTCCAACTCGAGCGACGAATAAGATTGTTGTTTGAATTTTTGTATTTTGAATATATTTTCTGTGCGTTGATATTTCCTCTGTTAAACACTTATTGTTGTGATGCTACATTCTCATATCGTACATCACAAAAAGTATATTCTTTAATTGTTTATTTTTGATTTTTGTGGTTGTTAAAACATTTCAATACTTTTTAAACCATTTAGCCTGTCATCACTAGTCCAACTGGTGTTCAGAATAACGTAATTGAAGTTAAGGAGTCCGATTTCGATGTACTTGCCGCTCTGTCACATGATATGGCCAATTCCCGAGGTAGTAATGAAGATCGTCCACCAACTACTCCTGCTGTTCCTTTCCAGACTGGTGATGGAAAACCTGACCCCCCTATACCAGAAGTGGAAATTTCTCATGTGTCTGGTTCCGGGTCACCACCTGGCGAATATTCTCGAGTGATTCCTGCTACACCACTTGAAGCACTATCGTTACAAGGAGGTAGTGGTGCATCATTACCTTCAGGAGCTCATAATGCATCAAATGACTCCAAGAAGGCTTTAACTCCTCCCTTACTACCTCCACAGTTACTTCAGGTATTTATCGTTTCACCCTTAATGCGTCTCTTAATATTTTTGGTCTATCTCAAGTAGAGTAAGACTTTTAAGTTGTATGTCTTGACTATATTTTCTGCTAATATATTTCTTTGTAGAAATGGCTGACTAGGGGAGAAATCAATATAGGAATTTTCAAAGGAGTCCATCAGGTCATGTCGTCACACTTCTAAATATTGAAGAAGGAGGAGAACAGAAATCAAATGTTACAACAATGAATGAATATGGATGAGAAAAAGGAAATAATGTAACGAGATTAGTTAGAATGTTCAGTATTTTTAAGCTTGTATGGAGTGAGTACCTATGTGACATATGTTCCGCCCACCTCATTTAGTGAAAACTTACTAAGTCATTAAATAATTTACCTTTATTACACAATACTATATCTAATATGAAAATTACCATTTGGTTACACGTACTCTCAGGTTTTCCAATTTTTGTCTAACTTATGTATGTCAGCTTGTGATCACTCCTGTAACCAATCAAATCTCTGCAAAACCTACAATTGACGAAACTTTAATACTTGAAAGTGTACAAATGAAAAGTAAGTACATGGGGAATAAAGAGAATCTAATGGATTCGGAAGGTCACAGGGAATGAATTGATATCGGTCATTGTGAACGATTTTAAGCCATATCACCAACATCCTCCAACCAGACAATCCACACCTCACACTCCACAGTCAAACACTTCATAGCTTGATGACATTTTTCCATTTGATAACCCGTAACTCCTTTCTAAACTAATCTAATCCTATATTAGGTAACATTGCTCGACAATGATGGCTATGAGTTGAAAGGCGTAACACGTATCCTAGCCATCACAATCGTTGCAGTTTCCCAACCTCATTGACTGATTGGTTTTCCCACGTCACCTGGCACTCCTTGCTTGACCTCAATATTACTTATCACATCATATCACTTGTCATCGGAGATTGAACTCAAAAGGTCTGTGGTCAAAGACACCACCTAGCCGGCCTCTTCTTCATATCTTTCACTTTTAACTACCATGTCTTACAGCCATAAAATAGGATAGAGTGAACTGAAACCTCCTTCGATCGATAATGGAATATCACGTGTGCGCTAGAGATGACATGATTGGTAAGTGCTACATGGGCTTGCCGTATCCGGGTTGGTTTCATCAGCTATTAGTACATTATGACTAGTGCAACTTAATGAATAATGTTATCAACACGTTCAGACACTTCACTTCCCCATCTTTAAACTGCTACTTGTTGCAGACCAGTCCTTTAGTACCATCTTACATTTGAAAGTGGCTAATAGCATGCGAAACATACTGAAATTTCTCTCCAAGGTGTTGAAAAGACTCTTAACTTTGTTAGCCTCTCCTATTAGTAGGACTGTATGTTATCTACATACCCTAAATCGATGAGACTGTTTCCTCATAAGAAATCTATCCTGATGTCGTTAAGGTCACATCCATCAGCAAATGCATGATGAAATGAAATAAAAAAAGGGTACACTGAGTAATCGTGACAGTTACCAATGGCTATCATCACTTCAGATGGCAACTCTCTATAAGTTATTACACGGTTGCATGAATTGGAGTAGTGTCTTGATAAGTACAACATACCTTCTCGGAACTCCTTCAGATCAAGACATTGCCTCATTTCCTCTCGGTTAAGAGTCAAATGCTATCTTCATTTACCGCAACGTGGTAACTTTCAATGCAGATTTCCTCAAGAAACTACGTCAGTTAGACAGTCACTGAAAAAGAACAGTTACTGGACAACTGTTTCCTCCTAGCCTAACATTCCTTGGCATTGTGTACTTATGATCCCATCAGGGACTAGACCCATGACCTTCAGCTTATGCAATACCAGCCTGTTTTCCATTTATCTACTAGTTCTCAATGCAAGGCCCTTGAATTATAACTCCGGTCAATTTCTCGCCTTTGATCACCGCCGACTTTGGTCTTAAGTGATTCTCCAACTGATTTGCATTCCTTGCGAAATTTACATTGAAATCAATCATTATTCCTACAAAACCTAAAATGTACACATGGTAAGTGCTGGACACCCGTAAGTATGCCAAAGTTCCAGAATCGGTCAGTGTGAAAATAAGATCAATACACCTTCGTCCTTGCTCGAATCCTACTTGGTTTTCACGAGTTCGTCTGTCTCATGCTTCACTTATTCTACGCCTCATTTTTGAACGTAGGATTTTAGATTATTTATTTATTTAAATGCATAAAAAAAACTTGATACAATATGGCACCAAGAAAGATGCGCCACACAATAATAATAAAACAACATAGATCAAAATTTAAAAAAAGAAAAAAATATAAGTAGAGAACAGATAAAGAACTTCATCTGGAAGGAAAACACTCATGCTTAACAAGTTCAAACAGTATTCGTTAACTATCATCAGGAGTGGAAGAAAGAAGTAAATTGCAACACGTTCGCCATATCCGATAACGTTTCAAGCCATCGATTCGAGCTGTCTCGCTGACCCCAAACAGGGAGTCGTGGTGCACCAACCGACGCTAATCTAGCACAAAAATCCTCCATCCCGCGACGCCACGTCATGGACTGACCACCCCTCCGCCTTTTCCAACCCGTCCCAGGGCTAGCGAACAGAGACCTATACGGAAGCCTCTGGGATGACATTCCCAGCACATGTCCAAGCCACCGGAGCCGGTGTTTCCAGATGATGACACTCAATGAATGGTGATCTCCACTGTGTTCAAACACACGCCGCCGAACCTCAGAATTACTCACGCGATGATGCCATCGAACGCAATCAATCCTGCTAAGACAGCGATCATCGAACACTCAGAGTCGTCGGACATCCTCAGCTTACTTGGAGAGGCCAGGTTTCACAGGCGTAGAGCAAGACAGCCCGCACCGAAGCATTTTATACCTGACCTTTGACAGCCAGGCTAACGGCGCCAGAGGTGGCTCAAGTTGATGTATGCCACCCTAGCCTTCATTATACGGTTGGAAATCTCATCCGTCACACCTCCGCTAGCACTCACACAACTACCCAGATACACAAACTTATCAACACCTTCAAGTGGTTCACCCGGAAGAGTGAGTGCAAGTACAGTCTCCTACCAATCTTGTAACAGTACTTTGCACTTAGACGGCGCAAAGCACATACCATACTTACAGACACTGATTGCCAACTGATTAGGTGCGATTTGGGCAGCCAGCAGGCTATCGCACAGTAAGACGATATCGTCTGCATACTCGAGGTCGAAAAGTCTATCTCCAGGTAGCAGATCTACACCACCTTCACGCACATCCTTTAGAGCTGACTCCAGAATGTCATCGATGGCAAAGTTAAAGAGAAATGGAGAGATTGGGCAACCCTGTCTAACCCCACTGTTGGTTGGGAACAGTGATGATAGTTGGTTGTATGCCCTCACTCTACCCGAGGTGTTTCTGTATAGGGCTTTCAAGATGTTAACAAATTTCTCAGGTACACCTCTCTCTCTAACAGACAGTTCCAGAGCACAGTTCTGTCCAACGAATCGGAGGCAGCCCTAATATCAAGAAACACAACGATCGTTGGCCTGCAATACACGTGTGGCGGTGTTCCAACAACTGACGAAGGGTGAACACATGATCAACGCATCCACGGCCTGAACGAAACACAGCCTGCTCTTTGCGAATCAATCCTTCATGTATTTTGCACAGCCTGCGAATCAAGACAGCAGCCAATATTTTAGACGCGACTGGTAGCAGACTGATACCCCTATGATTGTCACACGAATTACGTCGACTCTTTTTAAAGATGGGGACGATAATGGCTTCGTTCCACATTGATGATACACTCTCAGTCTCCCATACCTTCCTGAACAACTCAGTTAGAGCGATTGGTGCTCATAATATACTAAGTTGGTGTTTTTATAAAATAATAGTAGATACGGACGTACTGTCTTATCAATGAACACCAATAATATCAGAATATCTAACAATATATGTGGACAGTTCAGACAGTAGGTGGGAATGTTCTGAAAATCACAGGTGTGTCAGACCTCAACCTTTTACATCGGGGATCGCAAAGTAATTAGGATTGGAATAGCGAGACAGGCGTTTATTACTCAGAAGTCAGCACTTAGCACAGGGTAGAAGATACAGTTTTTCGACTTGGTGCGCATGTCACCAAAGACACTTTCAGCAACATGTCTTTTCTAGATACTGAAAACCCAATAGCCAACCAAAAACAATCAGCAACTAACGAACAAGCCAGGAGTTTGTTATCCAAAAACTATGCAGAAGTAAGTGCGGCAATTGATTAGATATACACACTGAGAATACTGTTGAGTAGTAACACCACATGCGAGATAGTCCGTCGAGCGGAACCTGAAACGAAGAATTGGACGTCCGAAGGTGACAGGAAAAAGATCATGTGAGGAGAGAATGAATGCTTCTAGGAAGTTGTGGAATAAAAATGTGTCCCTGTAGACTCATTTTCCAGTTGAAACGCAGGAAATAAATATATCTATCTAACGGAACCATCATTTATTTGACAGTGATTCAGTGATAGAATGCTCACCATCTACGAGTGCGGCCTGAGTTCGATTCCCGATCGATGCACTCTTAAACCCTGTCTAGTTCACTATCCTGTAGTAAGCCCGGTAAAGAGGGGGGTTGGGGAGACTGCACTCAGCGAAAAAACACTACTATTGGAAATTTAAAGTTTAAAGATTGAACTTGGAGTGCAAAGAAACGAAAATCCAAAGCATAACAAGTTATTTCTCCTTTTTAATGTATGTTTTTATTACTTACATGCATTCGCTGAATTTTCTCATTTTAGGTAATACTTAATCGTGATACAAATGTTCAATGTGATCCAAATTTGTTGCCACAACCAGATCATGTGATGGTGAATCACATGTATGCTTTGTCTATCAAGGTCAGTGTTCTTCTTGTCTAAAAGAATGTCATTGCCTATTATTATTAAATATTACGTAAACTCTTTTGCCTTTCTCCCAACACAATACTATATAGATAGATGTATTCAAGCAGGTTACTGGTGGTGAATTTACTTTGAGATCCACTGATATTCCTGATACTGTTCTTTAACCTATACCCCCCCCCTGATGCTAACCTTAACTCTAATCTTGACCGTTTATATATATATATATATATATATGTATATAACCGTTTCTTGTTCCAAGTAAGAGAATTAACGCAGCTCATTAATATTCAGTTATTATAGTTACCAGTATTTTACATATATTTTTGTTTAAAGGGAACTTTCATTTCTGTTAACTCTCATTTGAATTTTGTAAGTAAAACCATAGTCACTTGATTTGTCTACTACTTCTTGAAGCACAGTAGTGTTCCCCTAGTCTGGACTGCTCTGAACTTTCGACTATTTTCAGTCATAGGCTTAAATACTCTTCCGATTATGTGTGGTTCGGAGAACCAGTCAGACAACCAGCTAGCGAGCTGGCTAGCCCCGTCCTTCACATATACACAACAAGATACAGCTCATTGTTCACTACATAAACGTGCATGTTTGTTGTGTAAAGTGTATACCACATAAGTTTTAGCATCCAACTTTCAAATAATATGCATAATTTGCTTTACACCATTTGTAAATTATTAGGTTAAACTAGTTATTTTATATATATTTATATATATATATATATATATATATTTAATTGCGTTGAAACTGTATTCCTACTAACAGGAATTTGTATGTAACCTTTAAATTACCATAGCCAAAGTTCAATATCTGTCAGAAGTTGACAGTGATTTGAGAAACTCTGAGAAACATCATTCCCAATCAAATAATTCCTGCCTTCTAAATATTCCCTAGGTAGGGTTAGGGTAGATTATAAGGTTAAGGTTTGCGTTAGAGCGGTAGGGGGGGTAGGGTAAACTACAGTATCAGGAATATCAATGGATCTCAAAGTAAAATCACCACCAGTAAGTAACCTGCTTGAATCTATCTATCTATCACACATGGTATGATTTCACTATGGATATATATTACCCTTGCAGTAGCTAGGGTACATTCTAACAATACATAGGAGACAATTATCCAGTGTAATAGCATGTTCAGCATGATTTTTATTACAGATTGTTCAAGGTCACTATAATTTTGGCCATGATAGTTGTCAGCAGGGTAAGCAACGTGCCACTTAACGAGCTTGTTAATATTCTGGTGGACAGGCACATGGACTCATGTGAAAAATGAGCAAAATCCATCTTATCTAACTCACAACACCCTCTTCATTCACAAATCTCCCCTTGTATCTCATCAGGCAGAACCAGAAAACTATATGCTCGCACTAGCAAGTACAAAAACTCAACCATACCCTACTTAGCTCGTGTTCTGTGCGATAAAGGAAGCATTAGGCGTGAAACCTTTAACCTTATTAAATAGTCAGTAGAACAACTGGATCTCGTCTTTCCAACTCATATCATTTGTAGGTACAACGTTTTCTTTCTTTCTTTTCCTTTTCTCTCTCTCTCTTTCTCTGTTATTTACTCCTCTGTTTCTTTCTTCTGCTTACGCCAGTAAATATGCCACCATCTACTTTTCTAACACCTTCAAACACTGTTCAGTTTTTGGCTTTGCTACCGACATGCCAATATGCTGTTGTCATAATGAACTGAGATTTCCTTAATCTATGTAGAATTTTATTTATTGATAATGTACTAACTGGATGCAATACTGTAGTAAAATTGCTGAGAATTCCATTCTGTATCACAAGTACTGTTTTGGAATGAAGTGAATTATTATCTTATCTTGTCCTAACTTCTCCCCTTTAAGTTAATATTTCATGTTCATGGCATAAGTGTTTAAACATTTATAAACTAGGCATGTGATGTGATCAACTTAATTGACACAGTAATATTCTGATATAATAAGAAAAAAATATTTATTTCTACGTGGTGGTTTCGAAATGAATTGTTTCTTTTCTCATATTGTATAAAATTTATACAGGTGTGTAGAGTGATGTGGTTCATTGGACTAACTAGGCACTGGTCCTAGTCTGGAGTCCGGCTCCACCTACTTAAGTCTGGACAATTGACTAGTGTTGTATTATTAGCCCTAATACAATAAGTGTGACTCGAAATCGAGTATTAATCTATTGCATGCGTAATAACTAACCATACAGATAAAGAGTAAAACAGAATTATGCAAAGGTTGTAATTTTCACTACTGCAATGAATTCTCAGCGTGGGCATTTCCAGTTTCACCGAAGAGACTCTTTTCGACGAATTCATTCTCATAGCTGTACAATCGCATTTATATATAATTATTTGTGGGTGTGTGTATACATGAGGTCTGTCAAGTTCAGATAGTTGATCAAGTAATACAAGAATGATCTAATATAGAAACAAGGTTAATCAGACAGCAACTAAAGTAAGATTGATTTAGTAAGTTAGATGCTAAAACACTAAAAAATCGACTGTCGCGCTCACTTAAGAAGACCTTCTTCTCATCTGAACTACGACTAACCTTCTCCACAAAACCTATGATTCGTGTAAACGTGAAGGATAAGCTACCACGCCTGGCCTCATCAATGTGTATTTATCAATTCACCTGCTCGTGTGGAGCCAGGTATGTCGGCCGTACCCAGCGTTTGCTTTCCAAACGTATCACCGAACGCTTACCAATATGGTTTTACAGAGGAGAAAAACGATGTCCCTGCAGCTCCATCTTAGAACATCTGATAGAATCCGGACACCAAGCTAAACCGTAAACAAACTTCAAAGTCGTCTACAGAGTGAGAAAAAGTCTTCCTAAAGGTGTACAAATCAGACTTCTTCGAAATACAGAAGCCACGGTGATTCACTTGCTAAGCCCTGAACTCTGCATACAGAAGAAGTTCGTTCAACCACTACACTTGCAACACACTTAATCTATCTTATTACCCGACAAGTAAATTCTACCTAGTCTTTTTTTGTCTGAGCCTTCATTATTATTATTTTGTCTTCTCAATTCTAATATTTCGCATTTTCAACTTCCTTGTTCTCTACCCCACCCAATTTAATTTCTACACCTCACTACCATTGTTACTGACTTGACCAACGCTCAATTTCCAGTCATTTATGTTACGTCTTCCAACTTATTTGCTCGATTTCAGTTCTGATTTAAATGGCATTATTATCTACCTCACTTCTACTTAGTCTCTACCTGTAATTACCTCTGTTGCTATCATGACCTAAGTTGAAATATTTTAGTCAATTATATTACGTCATCTGACTTACTAACTCAATCTTACTTTAGTTGCTATCTGATTAACCTTGTTTCTATATTAGATCATTCTTTTATTACCTGATCAATTATCTAAACTTGACAAGCCTCATGTACACACACACACAAATAATTATTATTTTTTTATTTTTGATCAGAGCTTGATTCCACACTGTATTTTTGGTACAAGTATGGAATTTTCAGCATGGATATCGGTAGTCCAAATTTTGCGGGCTGACCATAGATATCAGGTGTGCGTCGGTAGGGGATCGAACCTCTGACCATGTACATGGTCGGCGAGAGTCCTGACCACTGTGCCACCGATTGTACAGCGATGCGAATGAATTCGCCAAAATGAGTCTCTTCGCCGAACATCTTCTCTTTTTCATATGACTGAATGGGGATTTTCAAGCTAATGAAAAACAAAACGATATTGTTTTTATTGACGTTTCGCTATTTAATGCTAATAGCTTTATCAAAGTATTATGTCTTTGGCCTGTAGGCAGCTGACGAGAAGGCAACGAAATAAAACATGGTACCACTTTATTCTGCAAAAACTTTAGTTCTTGCTTTGTTCACATTATAATCTTATTGGGTGGTTTTTATTCATTTCTTCTTTAGCTTAATTTTCTCAGGGATTTCTACCTTATAAAACTAAGCAGATTTGTTTTATCTATGGTTTAATTATCTGAGGGATTTTTAAATATAGTACACTATGTACTTTGTAGAATAAAGATTGTCGTTCCCGTCATGATTTATTTTCCCAATCAGTGTGGGAGATATTTCAAGTGACCAACTGAAAATAAAGAGAACAACAAAGGAATACAGGTGTAGAATAATAATAGTGAATATTTATTAACTTGATGAAAATGGAAAAGTGACGGCATACACACAAATTCAACCTGTTAGGTTGAAAACAAGGCAGAATATTATTGTAGCTTAAACGAAAGTAAGCAAACCAAACTGCTATTCTGTAACTTCAAAAATTGGTTCGATAGAGTATTTCATCATGAGCTGAGAGTAGTTAGAGAACCATTGGAAAAGCTGGGAGTACTGGACAGCTTTTTCGTCAGCCTAGTTTGGGACTCTTCAGCAGTACGCATCCACAGGGATTCGAACCCAAGACCTTCTGGTCACAAGGCGAGCTAGCTCGTAGACATCGACTGAGATGGTTAGGACATGTGTTACGTATGCCTAGCCATCGATCGCCTTCCTCGACAATGGGCAATGTTAACTGACATAGGGTCAGGCTGCAAAAGAGCTAGCCAGTGGTGGTCAAACCAAAACATGGCACCAGTCAATGAAATCTACAACAGTTAGTCTAAGCCACGTAGGAAGATGTAGACTTCCTGGTTAGGGTCCTCGAGACTGTCAAAACCAATGGTTGGGGACAATTGGTGATACGGCTCAAAATCGTTCTCAGTGGCTGGTGCAGATGCATCCACTCCTTGTGACTTATGATTTCCAATGAAATTGTTTTGTTCTTCGTTATTACTTTTTGTTTGTCTCACACCTCTGTTTACTGTCTCTATTATGCATTTCTTCTACTTTCTTCTGTTGCTTTGTGTGCTACATGGAGTGTGGCGACTTGAACTTCCGCACATATGTGCAAAGTTCTATGTTGAAAACAGACAGACAGGCAGCTCGTAGACCAAACTAGGACGAAACAGCTGTCCAGTTTTCTCAGGTTTTCCAATGGTTCTCTAACTAATGTCAGCTCATGATGAAATCCTGTAACCAATCAAATCCCTACAAACCAGCACTTGGTTCGATAAACTTTCTCGGTCTGAATGCATTTGACTTTTGTCGCAATCATCATACTAGCATAATAAGCTGTCGCCGTTAACCATAGGTGGTATCTGTGTTCATTTCCACTGAGCATACGTGACATAACGTTTTCAAGAAATAATCAAATTTGACGTAGAGTTAGTTAAAGTGAGTAAGCGCCTTGATCTACTTTGAACGCAAGACATTGTTGCAGCACATCTCTGACCACGGAGTCAAACCCCTCCTACAGGTCAAGAAATTAGGGGGTAAATCGAAATACATGCAAAATCCAGAAATCAACGTGGTAGGTGTTAGACACCTTTATATATACAAATGTTTCAGAATCTGTAGTATGATGAAGGTAGGATCAATATTCCCTCATCCTGGCTTGAAGAATGCCTGGTAATCCTTCAATGACTTGGTGATCGGAGGTAGCGTATACTAACACAAGGATATACACAAAGCAACATAGATTTCGTCTGAAGGACGTACCACAAACCAGACAGATTTCATCTCAATACTGCTCAGATAAGTTGAGACGCGGCTAGTCTGCTGGACACAAAGTCGAGAAGAGGAGCAGGTGTGGCCTATGACCATTATATATTCAAAAGAATCTTCATGGTGAATATGAAATCCTTCATAACAACTGGAGACAGACTATTGTAATTCATGTTCAACATTCTGACTGACCAACTGGTCTCGACATAGAACTTTGCACTGATGTGCATCAGTTGGAGTCGCCCCACTCCATATAGTACACAAAGACAGAAGAAAGTAAAAAGGAATGCAAAATGGAAACAGTAAACAGATATATAAGGCAAAAAGGAATAGTAATATCATAAGTCACAAGGAGTAGATGCATCTGCACAATCGAATTAGAACAACTTTGAGTCATATCACCAATTGTCTCCAGTCTTCATTGGATTTTACTATCCTGATGACCCCAACCCAGACGTCTACACCTCCATACGTGACTTGAACTAACTGTTATGGAACTCATCGACGGAAAAGCCATGTTTTGGTTTGACCACCACTGGCTAGCTCTTTTCCAACCTGATCCATCCTATGCCAGTCAGCTAACATTGCCCATTGTTGAGGAAGGCGATCGATGGCTAGGCATGTCTAACACACGTCCTACATATCTCAGTCGATGTAACTTCACAACCTCGTCGATTGATTTTCCCTCCTTACCTAGCACTCGACCGATGCCTAACCTCGATATCGCTCATTCGATTATACCACCCAACACGGGAGATAGCACGCAGACACCTATGTTGAAAACACAACTAGTCTCCTGACGTCTTCTACTTCCAGTGGCCATGTGTCACTCACAGACATAAAGAAGGATGGAGCGGACCGCTGAGCAGTACACTCACCCTGGATATCACGTTTACCGAAGCAGAGACTGAGTAAACTGGCATACGCGAAACTAGCCTTGTGTCTCCGTGCTGAGATTTCGCCAGCAATCCACCCGCTGGTACTGGCTGATGCAGCTTTCTACTTGGTATTTTTTACTTGTATTTTTTTCTTTTCTTTTGTTTTTCTTTGTTGTTTCTGTGTTTCGTTTTTTGGTTTATTTTTGTCGTGTTTTTTTATATTTATTATTTGTAATACTCCTTTTTAATGTACGATGAAATTAGATGCAATATTGTAGATATTTGCTGAAAATTCCACACTGTACCATAAGTACTGTTCCTGGAATAAAGCGGAATTGTTATGTTATGTTATGAAGTGGTCAACATGCTCCACTACTTCACTGCCTACCTTTAAACTAGGAGTATTCGATGTAGTGCAGTCCTGTAGCATTACCTTACATTTGGCGGTAGCGAATCGCATGGCAAACATTCGCAGGTTTCAGCTCCTCAAAGTGTTCTTAAGACTACTATGTTTTGTCGGCGTCTTCACCTAGGAGGGAGGAGTATATCATCTGCATATCGTAAGTCAACGAAATTATTCCCTGGTAACAAGTCAATCCCTGAATCGCTGAAGTAAGTTATGGTTAAATCCATTAGTATATCTATAATAAAATCAAACATAAAACACGTAGTCGTCGTAATTCTTGTTAACATAACTTCAATGGGAATATCGTATATACTTTATATATGCACAAGGTGCTCATTTTTATGCCTGTATTTGCTTTTCTCATACTGTTAATTATTTCAGGATGGTGTGATTGTTTTATCTGCTATTACACGTTATCGACAAAAATTTGTATCTACTGTACTCTATAAGCCAATATGAAGAAGATGGAGAGGTGGCAATCGTGGTGGTGGTGGTGACGATGACGGAGAAAGGACGGGCGAGGCAAACAAAGATCAATAGTGAAATGGTTGATCCTTATTTCTATATACCTTTTTTTGTAAATTTATTTATTCATAGCCTGTACAACATTTCACCTCTTTTTGTTTTCTATTCTGTGCTAATTTTTCATTCACAAAGTAGAGTAGTTAACCAATGCACAAACAAGCTAACGCGGAAAGACGATAATTGAAAAGAGGAATATATATATATATATATATATATATATATAGCAATCACTAGAAATGAAAATGACAATCTAAATGCAGGCATGAATGAGCAATTCAGAATTCGGCTGGTTCTGTTTTATGCGACAGCTACAGTGATAATGTTGGTTTTGTCTTTTACAATTGTGATTGTTCTTGTTGTTGTTATTATTGTTATCGACGGTCTTTCTCAATTCTATGTGTACATTTTGATCGACATGGCAATGGCTTGTTGTTTGAATTCTTATTCCTTTCCTTCTTTCTGTCTGTTCCCCCACTCCCACTCTTCTTTGTGTGGGACAGATAACCACCACTAAACTTCACACATGCCATACAACAAAATACTCTTCACAACTCTTTACCGATCATTTTAAATATGCATACGTGTGTACCACTTTGTTGAAAAGTGTTGCCTAATTGATTCAATCGCCTCCCTAGTTAGTTAGTTAGTTAGTTAGTTGATGCTATCCTTTATCAGTTAATTTCTGATTCAGTCAGACTTCATAATTATGTGCTGTTGTTGGATTACAACACAAGCATTCTATTGCCGCCGTCTTGTTTATTTATCTTTAATTTCTAAGATTTATTCACACATACAGTCAAATTCTAATTCGTCCGACGATGAAGATGATGATGATGATAAATGGTCTGTGTCTCCTCCATCCATCCTTGATGTTTAAGATGCCTTTCGCATCTTCATTACTTCTTCTCCTCTATTTCTCTCTCTCCCTCAAAATGTGTGTCATTGCTATATGCACATAATCAATTCGTATTTTGATGATAGTGAGATGATTTCACCGAAATCATATCTTTTATTTGTTGATTTATTTATTTACCTAATCATCTCCTTTACAAATTGTTTTTTTACTTATATTCATCATTGTTATTTATTTATTTATTGTTTGACAAGTCGATTGATTGTATTTCTTGTTATTTTCTATCGTTTTTCAATGTTTTTGTTAATGTTTGTTAAATGTCTGCTGTTTTGTCTGCATAGAGAACTTGCAGAATATCCTTGCAGCAGCAGCAGCAGTCACACCGACAACCACCACCAACAACAACACTATTCTTTATCACAGTGATTAATTTTGGTGTTGGGGGATGTTTCCCCTCCTCCACCCCCTATACTCTACTTTCTTGTGTTTTATTACTTGTGCAATTGATTTTGTGTGATATGTTTGTATATTTTCTTGCTTCTTTTTGTTTGTTGAGCAGCGAACGATGATGATAAAGGTGAAATGTTTTTCTCAACTTGTGATCTAGCCAAAAAACTTTCAAGTATTGTTACAAATTTTATTTGACTTTCTGTTTGTCAGTTTGTGAACAGTTCAAATTTTTCGCCATTTCGTGCACATACTCTTTTTAACAAAATCACTTCAGTGTATTTTACAAAACAAAAAAGATATATATGTACGAAGAGAAAGTATTTCAGTGTAATATGTGTATTTTTAGGAGTTAACCTATTTTAAGGTCTACTTGGAGTGATCTATTTCATGTCTCTCTAAAGTTCTCATATGGTTAGGCTATGTGAAGTTTTGAGGTGAATTGTGCGTTTTTTTTAAAATGGTGTGTGCTCTGATGATGGCTATGATTAGTAGTTGTAAGACACTCACTTCAAGGTGAGCATTGGCCACAGAACATTTTTACAGGATTTTATCAAGAACTGGCATTGGTTAGGGAACCATTGGAAAATCCGAGAGTACTGGTCAGCTGTTTCGTCCTACGTCCACTGGATTGGGTCCTAGTGGACTAATGGTCTACGAGCTCGCCTTGTGACCAGAAGGTCCTGGGTTCTAACCCTGTAGTGTGGGTGCGTACTGATGAGGAGTCCGAAACAAGGACGAAATAGCTGTCTAGTACCTCCAAGTTTTCCAATGATTCTCTAACTAATGTCAGCTCATGATGAAATCCTATAACCAATCAACCAAACCCCTACAAACCAATACTTGAAAATAAAAATCTACTGTCAAGGTAGATTTCAGGTAACCACCGCCTCCTCACGCTTAAAAGGAGATCCGGCTCGTTTAATTTGATTGTACAGGCTTCACCAAAACCAAGAGCTTTCTCATTACCCTGCTTACTAATAACCAATTATAAAGCTTTTACTCAGTATCACAGTCCAACAAATGTCGTGTGTCCGCCTGAGCTCCTTGAAAAGTCATCATGAGTACTAGAGAGCCATCTGGGGTAGTTTTCGGCAATATGAACCAAAAGCCACCTTTCCATACGCCAAGTGTATTTACTTCCACAAACACGTGTAAACTGATATGCACATTTTGATGTGGAGAGGATAAGATAAGACGTCTATCCTTACCACTCTGTGTGATAATTCTGTGTCTGTTGAGTTTTTTTTCGAAATTTCTTATCTTATTCAGTGTGTACCAGTCCAGACTGCGCTAGTCTTTCGTTCTCTGTCACTCTAACTAACCCTGGCCTAAGACACATACAACTAATGTACAAATTGAATGGGGCTATCAGAAAAACCAAGTTTCAAAGTCATATAGTTACGTTCAGTATGATTATGAACAACAAAGTACGTTTGAAAACATCATCCAGTAAATAATATCATCCCACTCTGTGGTCTATATAATAAAAACAAAAATACAGGATCACACATTACCAAAGTGTCCAAATTATATACATCCATCACTTGTGTAACATATCATTCAATACAGTTTGTAAGATCGATATCCTCTATAGTGAATTCCGTCATCAAGAGACCTATGGTCATCTTTCAATTGTATGTGTAATTCAGTGTCATTGGAGAAGGTCTAGCTAACTTGACATAGCTTAATTTTCTAATACTCTTCAATTTTTGAATAATTAACTGTTTAGAAAGTCAGTCAGTCTGTCGGGTAGTTGGTGAAAGTAATATTTTAAAAAAATAAAAAGAACCTTTGACATTTTGATATAGTGAGTACATTTCACATTCAATATGTGAGTATAATTATGTTGCATGATTAACAGTGAATCAAACAATTGATCCTATTAATGAAAAATAAGATTCGGATTTTCAACTCCAATGTGAAGTCAGTGCTACCTTATGGATCAGAGACTTGGCGCGTCATAAAGAGCACAAACTTCAGACCTTCATCAACAGTTGTCTTCGCTCAATACTCAAGATCAGATGGCCGGCCAGAAAAGATCAGCAACAGGGATATCTGGCAATGAGCGGACCAACCAGGAACCGATTGTGAAACAAATAGGCAGGAAGAAATGGAGATGGATTGGCCATACTCTGAGGAAACAATCGAGTGACGTCACTAGACAATCCATTGCTCGAGTGGAACCCGAAAGGGAAGCGGCGAGTTGGTCGTGAGTGCAAGGGTGACTTGGAGGAGGTCATGTGAAGAGGAGATGAAAGCATGTGGGCAGACGTGGAGCGAGGTGAAAAGGTTGGCAGAAAACAGAAGGCAATGGAGATGCACAGCTGAAGCCCTATGTTCCTCTAGGAATTAAAGGATACAATAATATAATAATAATAATAATAAGCTCATTCCAATTTTATGAACTATAGTTCTCCTAAGGTGTTATGTAACCCTATAAGCTGAAAGAGTTTATTACTTCTCCTCTTTTCTGTCTTTTCATCCCCCTCAATCTCTACTTTTCAATGCATATCAAAATTAACTACGGGTTAGAGAATACCTGTGGTGCCTACACTTTGAACCCCTTTATTTACAACAGTTCCCGTGTATCATTCCAACAGTGAAGTATATTATTTTTCATTCTTTTATGACTGTCTGCAGTTGATGAGCACATGTCAAATAAAAAGACATCGTTTTACCCTGAAACTTTTGTCTTTCTTGCTTTATCGAAATGTATTTTTTGTTTTGTTAGCTCAAGTAAACATAACTTCTACACAATTATTGACCTTCCTCTTGGTGAACATCAGTACAAATTTATTGTCGACGGGCACTGGAAACTCGACCAAAATCAGGTTGGTTATGACTAATGATTATGATGTATTTCCAACTACTGACCAGTATGTGTAAGTGAGTAATTGGATAAAAATCGTTAGTTAAATCATAGCACATTTCTAGAATATTGGTATAAAACAAAAAGTAGTCATTCATTCGTGTACCACGCAATAAGCGGTAATTATTATAACAGGTGTACTACTATTAACTATGTGGAATAGCTTTGTAACTCATAGCTGATTGGTTTAAATTTAATTGATAAGTAACACACAGAATAGCGAAGGCAAACAGATTGAGAAGCAAATATAAATAGCATAAGGAAGGAGAAGAAAAACTAAAAAAAATAGCACGGTGGGACTGGCCACTGACTTATAGTGGCGGCGGGTTGGTCGTGAGTGCAAGGGTGACTTGGAGGAGGTCATGTGAAGAGGAGATGAAAGCATGTGGGCAGACGTGGAGCGAGGTGAAAAGGTTGGCAGAAAACAGAAGGCAATGGAGATGCACAGCTGAAGCCCTATGTTCCTCTAGGAATTAAAGGCAATAATAATAATGAAAAAGCCTAACTTTTTTGTAAGGTAATAATGACACAGATGAATTACACAGTCGATCGATTTCTATCCATCGACAAATTTAAACGCCTATTATTCTATAGTATCAGTGTAGAGTGTCGGCAGAAGATGGGACAAAGTGGCGATAAGTTTTTGAAGCCCTATGTTCTATCTGGAACCCAAGGGAATAATAAATAAACAAAAATAATGTGGAGTCTACTACTGACGAACATTTCATCTTCATTGACTGGAGCGACGGATTAAGTTCAGAA